AGAAATACTTAATATTGTACTAAAAAGCACTCGGCCTGAAATGAAGCAATAATTTTGACAATGAACTACCAAAAGTAAGATAAGTTCCTAGTCTTAGATCAGGATACCTCTTCACCTGTACATCAAAGAACTAAATCTGAGAGTTCTACTTAAGACCACAGAGCTGAGAGGGGTGGGGAAGTTATAGTCATAGTCAAATTGCATGAAAACTGTCATTTTATTTACCTCGAGAGTAATGCTGTCTATATCCAGTGCCCTTAGGTTCAGTTTATATTATTGATTTCTTAATATGTCAGCATTACCTTAAAAGCTTTTGTTTTGAAATTTCCCTTGCAAACATTTGAATAGGTATACATATATGTTTTCTATAGCTCCTGATTTTTGACCATGGTAGTTTAACTTGATAATGTTATATTTTTATACTCTTATAAAGAGTCTATTATCTTTCAATGTGTTTTATTATGTGTATTAAGAAAGTTGTAAACCCTTATAGCTTTTCTTTTTCTTGCTATACCACTTGCCTGAAAAGTATGCTTCTGCAGTTATAATGAACTTTTAGGTAATTTTCCATATTATAAACAAATATACTAGCAATAAATTTGGAAATATTAAAATATGAATTTATGGGGATTTTCTCCCAATTATAGTAGAAACTCTTATCTGACATGGTCTGAACTTGCAAACTCAGGGAAATCATTTTAAAGGACTGTCTAACTTATTTAATTTACTTTTTAAATTTTTGTTTGCACTTGATCTTTGTTGCTGCGTGTGGGCTAGTTGCGGAGAACAGGGACTGCTGTCTGGTTGCGATATGCGGGCTTCTCATTACTCTGGCTACTCTGGCACGGAGCACAGGCCCTAAGCCTGCCGGTTTCAGTGGTTGCAGCCCACAGGCTCTAGAGCACAGGCTCAGTAGTTAGAGCGCAGAGGCCTGATTGTTGCGCGGCATGTGGAATCTTCTTGGACCAGGAATTGAACTCATATCCTATGCATGGGCAGATGGGTTCTTATCCAGGGCACCACCAGGGAAGTCTTACCTTATTTTAATATATAATGTATATATGAAAATTTGCCAATTTTTTTGGTATAGACCAAGGACTTTTGTTTTTCTTAAATTATGTGTCCATTGATTTGCTTTGGACTTCTTTTTTGCATAAACCACACCCATAATCCAGTGTCTACAATGAAAACAAAATTTGTTAGGCAGTCATAATTCAAATATAGCTAGGTTTTTATTTTAATTGTTTAATCTTTTGTAACTGTCATGCATGCCTAACTTAAGAGCATTTTTTAAAATTTAGTTACCATCAACTTAGGTCCATTGAAACAGTTCTTTCACATTCATATTTTGCCAGCTTACATAATTATGTAATTACAATAGACTAATAAGCATGGGTTTACATGACTTACAAACAGCAGTTCATTAAGCCCATTTTTCTGTGAGGTAAGCCTGCAACAGGTGCACATGTGAGCTATTAGAAAATGATCTTACTCTTGTCAGTTCTGGAGAGAGAAAAGGTAATCTTTCAGAAGGAGGTCAATTAAGAGAGTTTTTACTATATATTGTGTTCACTACATTCTAAAACGGATGGAAATTTATTCATTTACAAATACATGAAAATAACATAAAATGCAAGTGGAAAGAGAATGATTTGAGAAATCAACCTTACAGATAAGCTCAAATGAAAAGTTGTGCCTTTTGCTATTGAGACAAATAATTCTTTTAAGATTATTTTGTCAGAAAATTTGTCAGAGAAAGTTTAGGCATTTTCAGCTGGTGATTACAAAGAAAGATGAAAGGGAAAAAAAAGATAAATGAGGTACAGCCAGTATGGAAACCTATTTGACAGTATACTTGCGAAAGTTGAATGTATTTGTAAGCTATGATCTAGTGAGTATTCAGAAGGTGGAGGTGGAAAGATGTGGGTATGTGTCTGTGTAAGAGAGGAATGGGCGTGTGGATGTCTGTATTCACTAAAAGACATGTACAGGAAGATCTGTGGAAGGATTATTAGTAATGGCCATAAATGGAAACAGCCCGAATGTCTGTCAGCAGTAGAGTGGGTAAATACTTGGCAGTGTGCTTAATTAATGGGACGCTGTGTACAGCAGTGAGGATGAACAAAGGACAACATGCAGCAGTACTGGTAACTTTCACAGGATTTAATAATGAACAAAAGATGCCAGACCAAGAAAATACACTGGGTAGCATTTTCCATAGCATTCCATCTTTACGATATCCCAAACCAGCAGAAGTCAGGATGGTGGGTACTTTTTGTGAGAAGGCAGCAAAACAGGAGAAGGGGGCGGCAGAGAATGAAATGGTTAGATAGCATCACTGACTCAATGGACGTGAATCTGAGCAAACTCCAGGAGATAGTGAAGAACAGAGGAGCCTGCCAGGCTACAGTCCATGGGGTCAAAAAGAGTCAGACATGACTTAGCGACTGAACAGCAACAACAACAACAACAAAGGAAATAGAGACTATAAGGAAGCACAGATGACATTTGAAGTTCTGGAAATGCTCTCTTAATCTGGATGCTTCAGGTGTGTTCTCTTTGAGCTGCATGCGTAAGATTTATGTATTTTTATTGTTTAGGGTATACTGCAAAAAAAGAAATGTGATTTCATCTGATGGGACTGTGTTAACTAGATGAGACATGTAGTAAAGACACAGGAAAATAAGTTGAGCTCCACAAAAGGATTTGAGAGGAACTTAATTATAGAATCTATTAAAATGGGAAATAAAGCCTAACAAGTTAAAGTGTACCATCTGTAGTTAATTTAGCTGTGATAACTCGTTTCAGCACAATTGGTTGTATTTTGCATGCTTAGTACTTGGATTGTGCAACTGCTGAGAATTATTTAATAAGCATATAATTATAAGCCATAAATCATTTAACCCTAATCCCATAAAGTAATCTGGATCACTCTCCTCATTTTTAAATCAGTTTGATTTTTTTGTTTGTTTTGTTTTTTCCCAAAATGTATCAGATTCTGTTCAGGCTAAATACTGTTTAAAAATGAGATTAAAATTTGGTTCGGTGGACAAGAATATACTTCATTAATTGGCCTGTTTTTATAGAATATCAATTTTTAAATCTCTTTGGTTTCCTTCATTTGAAATTAAAAAGTCATGAAAATATCCTGGTCTGTATTCATTCAATATAGTAGCAAACAAAAGTCAAATACATATTAGAATAAAATCAAAAGAATGGAGCCTTTAAACCATTCTCTGACGGGGTTCACCGAATATGCAAGACAAATTTCTGCTACTTCAATAGTGGTAAAATATATGCTAGCCCACTACTTTATTGTATAAATGGTAATAAAGAAGAAAGAAATATTCAGTTTCCTTGACTAATAATCTTATTTATTGTGAAAGGTGGAAACACAATTGAATAAACCCATAGGAAATGTGATTCCAACCTTCTCAGTTAAATTGTAGTTGTCTCCCTATGTAGTAAATACAGATGAAGTGTTAATTTAGCAAGAGGAAAAAAAGTGTATGCTTCTTCTATTTAATCAAGTAGATAATCATTTTAAAGCATATTTATGTTAGTTTATATGTAACTAAGATACATAAAGATTGGAGATCCTATAATTTCTATGGAAAGGAAAAATATTTAAATTATGTGGTTTGGAAGAATAGTAGAGGCATTGTAAAATAAATATGTCTACTTTCTTTGAAATAAAATTTTGCCTCAACCTTAAAAACGTTCCCTAAGTTTCTTGAAACTATTTTATGGTCCCTAATGAGATATGAACTATAATATAGAAGAAAAAGTCCAAGGCATTATAATAAATGCAGTCAGTTCTTAAGGACCAGATTCTGTGGACACTTTGCCAGCTACCCTTCACCTTCTGTCTCTTGCCATCCTAACTCTTTGCCACATTCTGTACCAGTGAGATATAACAATGACTAAATGTGAAGAATGAGCTCAAAAACCAGTAGTCTAGATGAAGAATAGGACTTCTCACAAAAGAGTCATTACTAAGACTTCTTTTTTTTTTTTTTTTTTTTTTTTTTTACTAAGACTTCTGAATCTTGATCTCTCCTCTGGGGATGGGAAAAAAATTGAGATGGAAATTGAGTAGGTTCGTTGTAAGTATTGAAGAGAGGGAGAGTACAGGGAACCAGATGCTTGTTCCTTCAGCCATTCTATCCTTTAATCTTTTATTAGTCAAGGCTCCTTTTGAGAAGAATTGAGGAAGTGAGCCATATCAGAAAAGGTAAATGATAGGAAATAGCCCTTGGCCTGGGAACCCAGAGGCAGAAGGACTGAGCAACTCCTATCTCCCTGAATTCATGTCACCTCATACTAGCTTCTTTATGTTTAAAATGGGAGCACTGGGGTGGAAGGGAGGGGTACAGGTGTATGTTGTAAGTACCCCTGGTAGAAATTATTGTTAATTGAGTGACTACTGGAGGGGCTTCCCTGGTGACTCAGATGGTATGCCTACAATGCAGGAGACCTAGGTTTGATCCCTGGGTTGGGACGATCCCCTGGAGAAGGGAATGGAACCCCACTCCAGTACTCTTGCCTGAAAAATCCCATGGACGGAGGAGCCTGGTGGGCTACATACAGTCCATGGGGTCGCACAGAGCCGGACACGACTGAGTGACTTCACTTTCACTCACTGAAGTAGGAATACAACCTGATTAGTGACCTAGAAACTTCAGGATCCTGTCCACAAAATAAAGAGTTCATGAATAATTTAATTTGGTTACTGTGTCACAGTATTGCTCTATTAGATTAATTAGAAAATGTATGTGACTGTTTTCCCATTATTGAATGTGGTAAAACTTAAATTCTTCATACTGCTTTTACATTTTCTAAAATAAATATAATAGTTATAATTTTCTATGAAACATGCTTTAAATACAGATATCTACCCTATAATCTCTAGTTGATAGCCTTGAATAAATTTAGGGAATTTCTTTTTTTTTAGTAACGTATCAAAAATTTTTAACATTATACTCCTGCTCTTTTATTAGGATTTGGAACTTGGAAGGAATACAGACAGCTCATTTTGTTCTTCATTCCCCTGGAATGAGTGTGTGCTGGCATCCTGAAGAAACTTTTAAGGTTATTATTTATTATAACTTAGCTTTCTTTTATCAAGTGGAAAATACATACAGATGTGAAATACCTGTACACAGAGAAGAAAAAAAAATTCAGTGATTTGTTTTTCACCTCAGAGATTCTTAATTGTCACAAATGCATTTAGGTTAGTCTAGAACCTTATAAGTTCTCTGTAATCAAGTTTTTATTTGACAACCATCATCTGTTTACTCAGAGTGTACTTTTCATGCCTCTTGGTAGGTTATGATCTAAACCCTAATCCCTGGACTATCTAGTAAGCAGTATTTGTTTTAAAAAAAAATATTAAATCCATGCTTCTGAGCCATAGTGTGAAAACAGAAAGCATCGGTGGCATAAGACAAATTTGACCTAGCTGCAGTGGTATTCAACTTCTATTCAGACTAAAACTTTCTAAAATTCCAAAAATACACTATGGGTTATTATTAATTGGCCTAAAATTCCATTGAGAAGATAGGAGCCATTCAACAAGAGTTCTCTCATTTGCCAGTATCTTTTCCTGGGTATTACTCTACATTCCAGAATCTAAAACATTGCCACATTCATCTTCCTGAAGTTAGTTCTTCCACTGTCCAGAGTTCCTGTTAGTTTATAGGCATCCTGCTTTTCATAGCCCTCTAAGGTCTTCATACTTCTCCATGACTTTTCTCTCCTCACACTTGCACTAAACTTGACTAATCACAGCAGATTAATAATACCTACTTATGTTTGGCTCATGGTTAGCATTTCATGTAGTTAGCTCATTTAATCCACATGGCAGCCTTATGAGATGGGTACTGTGAGGATCTCATTTTACACATAGGGAAACCAAAGCTCAGAAAAGTAACTTGCCCAGGTTCACCCTGCTGCTAACTGGAAAAATGGACATTTGTACCTCAGCAGCCTACTCCATAGGCCTTGCTCTTAACCCTCGCATTCTTGTTTCCCCATTTTAGTCTATCACCTTCACATCTTTATTTCTGAATGTTTGAACCCATCACATCTTTTAACTTCAGTTCCTCTTTACCCATCCCATGATCTAAATCTCCTCTACTCTCAAAAGTCATCAGTGATATTTTTAACAAATCCAATGGGCTTTTCTTCCATTCTTAATCTCAAGGCAGCTTTTTACACTGTTGATTATTTCTGCCGCGAAACCCTGCTCATTTGGTCTTCAAAGCTGCATTATTCTAGCCATCTTGAGCATCTATGCATATATACTCGCTTTCTCTTTCTCCTCTGCTAACTATTCTTTCATTATGTACTTGTAAATTGCTGTAAGAGTATTTCCCACCTACACCATACCCTTTACACAGTAGAGGACAAGGGGAAGAGTCACACATGCAGCTGAGCAGCATGGCGACGTAAAGCGGCATTAACGGCGCACACGCAGCTGAGCAGAAGGGCGACGTAAAGCAGCATTAACGGCGCACACGCAGCTGAGCAGAAGGGCGACGTAAAGCAGCATTAACGCACACACGCACAGCCTTCAAGGCGCCCCGAGCCGAGATGGCCCCGGCTACGCTAGTGTGTTCTGTGGGCCTGGGGCACCACGAAAGCTCGTTCCAGGCCTGCTGGGCATTTTATCAGTGGGATTGTATTCTGTATGTGAAGATGAGTGAGATTCTATAGTTTATTTATATTGCATATATAGGGATTATTTCCATGTGTATATTAATTCTGAATCCAGATTCTAAATTTTATTTTACAACTAGATTTCTCCTTTGCAGCAGTGAGTCTACATGAAGCGTAATCAGAGAGTCTACCAGAATGTCAATATTGCCATATATAAATATAATAGGCTCCTTTTTAAAAACTGTGACCCAATAAAACAAAAGCCTGTGACCTAGATGAGAAATGAGGATGTTTATCATAATCCCTATCCCAAATTTTGTATCTTAATACTTAATTCATGGTTTTTTACGATTCCTTTCTTCCATATGCTTTAAGTTAGTTTCTATTAATCTTCTGTATGTCTTTGAAGTTTCACCCTACCCATCTCCTTGTTTTTCTTGTGTCCATGACTTCAGAATGTTTGGAAGTCCCTGCTCTAAATTGCATCAACTCAGTATCCTGAAGGAGATCAGTCCTGGGTGTTCACTGGAAGGACTGATGTTGAAGCTGAAACTCCAATATTTTGGCCACCTGATGCGAAGAGCTGACTCATTGGAAAAGACCCTGATGCTGGGAAACATTTAGGGCAGGAGGAGAAGGGGACGACAGGATGAGATGGTTGGATGGCATCACCGACTCAATGGACATGGGTTTGGGTGAACTCTGGGAGTTGGTGATGGACAGGGAGGCTTGGCGTGCTGTGGTTCATGGGGTCACAAAGAGTCAGACACGACTGGGCAAATGAACTGAACTGAACAATATCTTAAAATGATCTTTGATATCTTCCTTTCCTATGTGCAGGTTTTTCCAGATCTTTATAAAGTTTTTCTTCACTGTCTCTAGCATACATTCCTCTTAATCATTAATGTGTATTCTTCACCTTTCTATTCCTGCCAATCCTTAGTTTGTTTCTAAAATCTTTGGCTCTTCGGTCTGACCCTTCTTGCCTACTTTAGTTAAGACTGACCTTTAAATATCAGTTTAATTGTGTCACTACTTAACTCAGAAACCTATAATTACAGAAAGGCAACACAGTAGCAGTTAAAAGTATGGGCTCTTGAGTTAACTGCCTAGAGTCAGTGCCCAGTTCTACCACTTACTAGCTAAATGATCTTTGGCAAGTCACAAAATCTCTTCTCAATCACTTCCTCATCTTGAAAAAAGGAATCTCATGAAGATTAAGAGTGAACACTTATAAAGTCCTTAAAAGGAAACCTGATGCATCATAAGCACTCAGTCAATTTCAGCTGCTTGTCATTATTGACATTGTTGTTACTATTAAATGTAGTAGGTGGTGGTTCTCATTGGTCTGGCATATCAAACCCAAAAGTTTTGTCCTGTTTTGCTTGATCTTGATAAAAATGAGGCAGCCAGAGAAGAAAGATAAGTCTGTGATTACCTATCTCTTAAAATTCTTATGAAAGTCTTCAGTTCTGTTCAGTTCAGTTGCTCTGTCATGTCTGCCTCTTTGAGACCCCGTGAACCGCAGCACGCCAGGCCTCCCCATCCATCACCAACTCCTGGAGCTTACCCAGACTCATGTCCATCAAGTCAGTGATGCCATCCAGCCATCTCATCCTCTGTCGTCCCCTTCTCCTCCTGCCTTCAATCATTCCCAGCATCAGGGTCTTTTCCAGTGAGTCAGTTACAGATTACATGAGAGAGCCATGTAATCTAGAAAGCACCAAGCAAATGCCAGCAATTAATAATAAAGTTACAGCAAACTCCTTGGCAGTCCAGTTGGTCGGACTCAGTGCTTTCCCTGCCAGGGCCCTGAGTTCGATCCCTGGGCTAGGATCTGAGATCCCGCAGGCCACATGGCACAGCCGTTGATAGTAGTAGGATTTCCCTGGTGGTACAGTGGATAAGAATCCACATGACTAAAGAAGCTGTGCTGTTAACCCACCATGCTTTATTGCCTGTCCTAATTGAGGTCCAGACAGACTTGGCCCTTCCATAGCTCATAAGCTATACCTGAAATTCTCAAGACTTTTGGAGACAGGTTCAAAATCTCAAGTGTTTTTACTAGGTCCAAAGTAAATCTTCCTTGGTCTTCTCCCATTTCCAATCCTTCCCAACCCATGATTTTACACAGCCCACCAGATCACTCACCGATCTTTATAACCTAGTCTTGTAGTAAGGAACACACATGTGCTATAGTTAGACCTGGGTTCAAACCCAAGCTCTGCCACAGGCTTAGTGATGAGATCTGCCATGTTACTTTAATCACTCTTCACCTCAGTCTTCTTTCTGAAAAATGGGATTAATGATAGCAGTCTCCTCAGATAGTGGTCATGAAGACTAAATATTTTTATATGTTACAAATTATATTAATAATGTATATATACAACAAATTATTTTGTTGTGTATTTGTCACTGACCTCATGTTATTAAGAATAGTTTTAAATTCCACCTTTTCTCTTAAGAATCCCCTAATTTTAAAGACTGCCTGTGTTCTAAATAATTACTCCACCTTTTGCATCCCACTGTATTTCCCCTTAAATTTTTTTTTCCATAATTCTCTCTCTTGATGGAAAGTTTCTGAAGATCAAGGATCATGTCTTTTACCTTCACTGAACATAGCATGGTGTTTTACATACAAGTGTTTATATGGTTGATCTTCATTATTCATAGATCCTACATTTGCAAGTGTGCCTGCTCACTAAAATTTATTTGTAACCCCAAGATTAATAGTCATCACTCTGACCATCACAGACATGCATGGAGCAACATAAAATTTGAGTTGACTAAGGTACACATTCCCAGCTAGAGCTGAGTGAGGCAGTACTCTGCCTTCTTGTTTTAGCTTTCATACTGTAAACAAGTACCCTATTCATGGTTTATTTAGGGCCACATTTTTATGCTTTTTGTTGGCAATTTCTTTCATGTGTAAAATGGCCCCCAAGCACACTGCTAAAGAGCTACTTAGTATTCCTAAATGCAGGAAGGCTGTAAGACGCCTTACAGAGAAAATACAGGTTAGATAAGCTTTGTTCAGGCATGAGTTGTAGTACTGTTGCCTGTGACTTCTATGTTAATGAATCAATATGTATTAAGTAAGATGTCTATAAACAGAAACAAGATTATGTATTGATCAGTTGACAAAAATGTTGTGGTCAGAGACTCGCAGGAACACAACCCTTTAATTTCCTTTAGGATCAATGATTTGATATTCACTAACTCAGTGTTTGCAGAAACTTTATAAAACCTTAACTACTGTGAATAACTCAACTGTGTGTCTGTGTGTATATGGATATACTTAGAGTGAATTTTTATGCTCTTCTTCCTGGGGACCATGTATAGTCATTTAAAATTGTACCCAGTTTTCTTGTGTCTTTCTTTTTGCCAGTTTCTTGTGGAGTTTTTTTAATATTTGATACTTTTTTTTTTTTACCTAGGCTTGTCTTATTTCCTTCGCATTTTATCTCCCTTTTGTAATATATGCATATTTTTACGTATTACTGTATATATGATCTTGAATCTCTGTCTCCTTCTCAGATTTGACTAGTAAATTAGGTGGTTGAATTCTCTTTGTTTTTCTGTCTTACAGCTGATGGTTGCAGAGAAGAATGGAACAATTCGGTTTTATGATCTTTTGGCTCAACAGGCTATTTTATCCCTTGAATCAGAACAGATGCCATTAATGTCAGCACACTGGTGCTTAAAAAACACCTTCAAAGTTGGAGCTGTTGCAGGGAATGATTGGTTAATTTGGGATATTACTCGATCCAGGTACTGCCTTAGTATATTTATCTATTATTTACCAAAAAATCAGTCACTATTACTAAATGATTCATTGACCTATTCTTGTATACCTGGGCCATATTGTAAAGCAAAAGTAAGACTCTCCTACAAAAGGGCCAGAGTTAATGGGTTTTTACATAACAGACATGGGTTTTACAGATTTACTCTGAGAGTAACAGAAAGAATAATGCAGAGGAGATCTTTCATCTGAGGGGTGTGCGCGCGCTCAGTCGTGTCTGACTCTTTGCGACCCTTTAAGACTGTAGCCCACCAGGCTCCTCTGTCCATGGAATTTTCCACGCAAGAATACTGGAGCAAGTTGCCATTTCCTACTTCAGGGAATCTTCCTGACCCAGGGATCCAACTTGCATCTCCTGCATTGGCAGGTGGATTCTTTTACCACTGAACTACCTGGGAAACCATTAACCAATGTTTACTTTTGTTTAAAAAAAGAAAAACACTGACCCTGTTAAATGTTGTTGTTCTATAATGGTTCTAAATCATGTTCATATCTTTATCATATTTCAGCTATTTTAATTCAGTGCTTATTTGGAATTTTGTCACAGTTTAAGTACCTTGGGCGTTGTGTCCTTTAAATAGAAAATAACCCTATAATCCTTAATTTAAGTTCACCTACCTGAGACCAACACATAATTCATAAGATGCAAAATAATATCTTTTAGTTACCCTCAAGATAAGAGACCTGTCCACATGGATCGAGCCTGCTTATTCAGGTAATGTACCATTTGGGGGGGGGTTATAATTTGATTTTTTGAATTTGGTTACTTTGTTCATGCTGTGCCAACTTGTAGAATATGTTTCCAGTCCTCTCCTTTGCACTGACTTTTTTCCTTTTTTTCTGATTGTTTTATAAATGGATGTTTTGCTTTTTGTTTTTTGGTCAGGGTGAGAGATTGTTTTCCAATATTTTCTTTGAAAATGTTTATAAAATACAGAATGTTACTACTCCACTAATACCACCTCAATAATTTAGAACATATGCTTTCATAATTTTTCTGCTGATAAAGATGTAAAATGTAGGTTGGCCCATGTCTATGCATGTAAACTACATACATTGTTGTCTTCAAGTGAGAAACACTGGATATTATAGATCTGTGACTTTTTTTCCACTTAAATCAATGTGCTTGTTTCTCATTTCATTCATTTTTACATAATGTTGCACTGTATAGTGTAGTCTTGGAAAATTTACTAACAGAAACTAAAATCAGTAAAAAAATCAATTTATTATATGCTGTATTTCATCAAATCTAAAATACCCCCAATGAAACTGTAGAACCTAAGGACACTATTATTTTATGTATTCCTAAGAAAAAAATGTATTCAACTAAATGCAAGCATGCCATAGATTACAAGGTGAATCCTGATTTCAGAGATGTGAGCAAATATACATTTTAAAATCAACAAACTATAGACTCACAGAAAACTTTTGGTTACAAAAGGGGAAAGAGGGGGAGAGGAAGGGATAAACTTGGAGTTTGGGATTAACATATACACACTATTATATATAAAATAGATAACAAAGAGGATCTGCTGTATAGCACAGGAAATATTTTGTAATCACCTATAAAGGAAAAGAATTTGAAAAGAAATACATATCTATGTGTATATAAAATATATATATATATACAACTGAAGAACCATGCTATACACCTGAAACTAACATGATATTATAAATCAACTACACTTCAATTTTAATTTTTTTCCCCAACTGCTAAAAATAAAACCAGCAAACTATGGTCTAAAGGAGGAGGTCATCTCAGGATTGGTTTATGTCGTTTAGAATTCAGGCCTTTCTATCTGCTATCCTCAGTGGCAAGACTTTGACTTGGTGCTTCCCAACTGCAAGATGACTTCCAGTGTTCCAGACACCATAGCCTCATACCATGTTGTCCAAAATAAGAGGAGAGGAAGGAGCCACTCCCCTTTTATTGGAGATTGCTATCTTTGCCTTATACCAGTCATCTCTTACCCCTTGGGGTCAGACACCCTGTGCCAGGCCCCAGCTGGAGTTCAATTAGCACAGAATAAGGGCAGAATGCCTGCTGGACAGCAACTAATAATATCTACCACACATTAAAGTATTAACTAGACTTACAACCTTTTTTTTTTTTTGGTCAAGGAATCTTTTTCTTTCCCCTCGTAGCTCCCCCACTGCACTCATTACTGTGGCACACTTCTTGCTGGGGATCCATTAACACTTGGTGGTTCACTGATTCGATGTATTCCAATGGCTATGTTGCCTTAATACTTGAATATTTAAACATCTATGTGTTCTAGGCGTTTACTTCATTCCGAGGAGTTTAAACTCATGAGTTTGTCATTAATTTTAAAACAAATGTCAATAAGAATTTTAAATGTATGGAGTTTTTTATGTATTGTGCTGTGAAATATTTTTTGTCTGATTCCTTGTTTGTATCTCCTGCCATATTGTCAACTTTTTGGGAACTGCTGACCTTGTGTAACTTTGATATTTAATGAAGTGGCCCATGATAAGCAATTAATAAATATTCACAGAATGAGAAAATATTTATAGCTAACTTCCCTGAAATTCCCAGTCTGATTGTAAATCCATATTATCAAATATAGACTTATAAAATTAGCATTTTGGTACAAAGAGAAATTTTAGAAAAGCTTGTGTTTGTCTGTAGGATTCTGTACTTATTTTCATCCTTTGTCCTTTCTCAGATGGTCCACAATTAATGAAAACTTATTTGCTACCACTGGTTATCCTGGCAAAATGATGAGTCAATTTCAGATTCATCATTTAGGACACCCTCAGGTAATGTAGCAGTGTTTGATGGCGTATGTGTTTTTAAATTTGTGTTTTCTACTTTTCCACTTATAGCTCCCCAGATTTGTAATATGTGAGTAACTAAAGGATTTATGAAAGAGAAAGCATTTTTTGATGTTTAAATCACCAGTGGTAACAGACTTTTTGCTAGTATTCACATAAGAAGTATTTTATTTCTTCTCTTTCCTCCTTCATTTAAGTATAATTATGCTTACCTGGTTAGTTTAGACTGAAAATGTGTGTCTGGGCTGCATCAGTTATCCATAGCTGATTTGTACACTTCGTTCCAGGCAGTTACAAACAAATACTATGTATTTCACCTATGAGGGAGCACATTTTTTAATTCTGCTACCACTATAAACAAAGACAGTTTTTCAATGTAAACTTCTTGTTTTTGAAAGGTAGTTTTTATTTATTAGTGTTAGTGATGTATTGAACTTCTTTAATCCTTCACATATTTTATAGCCCATCCTCACTGGCTCTGTAGCTGTTGGATCTGGCCTTTCCTGGCATAGAACTCTTCCACTGTGTGCAATCGGAAGTGACCACAAGCTGTTGTTTTGGGTGACTGAAATGTAGAATAAATTTTCTGTGTACTTAGATCCATAAAACTGTATTATTAGTACATATTTTGGAGAATTTATTTTTATATCAAATATATACTGTAAGATCTAGAAATGTTCCAGTTGTTGCTTTTGTTAAATAAAATATTGATGGTTTGAAAAATCATTTTCCTCTTCTATTCTATGTATGTGTGTGGTTTTCTTTTTTTTCTCCCTAAGTCATCTTTTAGGACTATGACTAACTCAGCAGCTCTAGGAAAGAAATGATTAGGGAAGCTTAATTCTTTTGATTTTATCACAGGATTTTCCAAAGGGTATCTTATGTACTATACCTTAAATACATGCTATATTCCTAATTCTCAAACACACAGACATTTACAAAAGGGAAAAAAGGCCTCTCCTTTCACCATTATTCTGGAAATTGGTTGAATGTATTAAATATATGTGTGGGTAAATGCATATGTATTTTCTGTTAGCAGTATATACATACACAGGAGACATAAGAGACATGCGTTCCATCTCTGGATAGGGAAGATCCCCTGTAGGAGTAAATACCAACCCACTCCAGTATTCTTGCCTGGAAAATTCCATGGGCAGAGGAGCCTGACAGGCTATAGTCCATAGAGTCACAAAGAGTCAGACACGACTGAACGACTTTCACCTCATAAATATAGAAGTCTTATTACAACTTTCTCAGTAATTATAAGGGATTATTCAGTTTAACATAAGAAACGATTTTCAGTTTCTTTAAAATGTGACTCATTACGTTATCAGTGTTTATTTACTATATGCGAATTCCTTTTGATTGGACATCTCAACATTCTCAGAACATCTGGTATGTGGGGTAAAGCTTACCTTAGAAAATAACTTATGATTTAATACCTTTAACAGTCTCCACCTTTTATGAATCTTCCCCATTCTTACCAAAGTTAAATGTTTCTGAGATGGCACCTAGTGGCAATGGAACTATATGCACCCTCTGCACAGTCATGGGGTGAACATTGTATGAGGCAGCCATGTCGTGTGATCTCGCCAGAAGAGGACAATGCAGCTAAATAAATCTCTACAAACTCTGCATTCCTGCAAGTCAGTGCCCTCTCTGAAGCTGCATTGCCACCTATAAAATGGAGATGGGAATCACTGTGTCACGGAGTTACTGTGAGCATTATGTAAAGGTGAATGAAGATACCTAACATGTCCAGCACAGATTTGTAGGTAATATTAATCTATTTCAGAGATGGATAGTTCTTATTTTGGAAGAACTGGAAATTTAATTAATGAAATATTTTTATTCAAGTTTTCTTTTCATATGACACATCTTATGAAATCAAAGTTACCTTTGAGAGATAATAGAATTGTTACAGGTAATTTTTTTTTTTTTAGTAAAATCTTGTAATCACATAGATATATGGTATAAACTGTTACATGTGTTTAATTACAAGGAAAAATTGTATAGCATAGCAGTTCAGTTCAGTCAGTCATGTCTGACTCTTTGCGACCCCATGGACTGCAGCACGCTAGGCTTCCCTGTCCATCACCAACTCCCGTAGCTCCTCAAACTCATGTCCATCAAGTTGGTGATGCCATCGAACCATCTCATCCTCTATCATCCCCTTCTCCTCCTGCCTCCAATCCCAGCATGGGGGTCTTTTCCAATGAGTCAATTCTTCACATCAGGTCGAATACCGTAGCAGTTGCCAAGTTAAGTATTGAATACAGTAAAATATTATTACCAAATATTAAAAATATTTTCTTTTACCTCTTCATACATAGATTTTTAACTTATGGCAAAGTTGGAGGAATTTTGACATGGTTCCCTTTAACAGTCTCTGAGGGGACAGAGAAGCGTGACGATAGAACAAAGAATTTGTAAGAGTTTCTCATTTTAGGGTGTATTTCAAAAATGATAAATTGGGTCAGTATATTTGAAAATTGTCCTATACTTAGCAGTTGAGTGGGCTTAGGAATAGAGGTTGGAGAAGTATGTTGGGGCTTCGGTATTTGGGTATCTCGGAGATGGATCCTCTGGAATAAGGGTTTACCCATTTATAAAAGTTATCCAATGAAATTACCCACTGGGTCTGGTGTCTGTAAGGACACCATGGTTATTGTGTGAATACAGTTCTGCCAAAGAGAGGCAGGAAGTGTTATCCTCAAAAGAGAAAAGGTGATTACATCTGTAAATGAAGGTGACTGAGATAAGACATTCTCAAGAAATGAGAGGGATGTTTTTAGCCCTTAGTTTTGGGAGTGGTATGCATTTTATCCTAAGTAAACTTTGAGACTATTTCAAATCCTAAAAGGTGATGCTGTGAAAGTGCTGCACTCAACATGCCAGCAAATTTGGAAAACACAGCAGTAGCCACAGGACTGGAAAAGGTCAGTTTTCATTCCAATCCCTAAGAAAGGCAATGCCAAAGAATGCTCAAACTACCTCACAACTGCACCCATCTTAACATGCTAGCAAAGTAATGCTCAAAATTCTCCAAGCCAAGGTTCAACAGTATGTGAACCATGAACTTCCAGATGTTCAAGCTGGATTTAGAAAAGGCAGAGGAACCAGAGATCAAATTGCCAACATCTGTTGGATCATTGAAAAAGCAAGAGAGTTCCAGAAAAACATCTACTTCTACTTTATTGACTATGCCCAAGCCTTTGACTGTGTGAATCACAACAAACTGAAAAAGTCTTCAAGAGATGGGAATACCAGACCACCTGACCTGCCTCCTGAGCAATCTGTATGCAGGTCAGGAAGGAACAGTTAGAACTGGACATGGAACAACAGACTGGTTCCAAATCGGGAAAGGAGTACATCAAAACTGTATATTGTCACCCTGCTTATTTAACTTATATGCAGAGTATATCATTAGAAACGCTGGACTGGATGATGCACAAGCTGGAATCAAGATTGCCAGGAGAAATATCAATAACCTCAGATATGCAGATGACAGCACCCTTATGGCAGAAAGTAAAGAACTAAAGAGCCTCTTGATGAAAGAGGAGAGTGAAAAAGCTGGCTTAAAACTCAACATTCAGAAAACTAAGATCATGGCATCTGGTCCCACCACTTCACGGCAAATAGATGGGGAAAATGGAAATAGTGACAAACTTTATTTTCTTGGGCTCCAAAATCACTGCAGATGGTGACTGCAGCCATGAAATTAAAAGACTCTTGCTCCTTGGAAGAAGTTATGATAGACCTAGACAGCATATTAAAAAGCAGACACATTACTTTGCCAGCAAGGGTTCGTCGAGTCAAAGCTTTGGTTTTTCCAGTAGTCACGTACAGATGTGAGAGTTGGACTGTAAAGAAAGCTGAGCACTGAAGAATTGATGCTTTTGAACTGTGGTGTTGGAGAAGACTTTTGAGAGTCCCTTGGACTGCAAAGAGATCTAACCAGACCATCCTAAAGGAAATCAGTCCTGAATATTCACTGGAAGGACTGATGCTGAAGCTGAAACTCCAATACTTTGGTCACCTGATGTGAAGAACTGACTCATTTGAGAAGACCCTGATGCTAGGGAAGCTTGAAGGCGGGAGGAGAAGGGGACGACAGGATGAGATGGTTGGATGGCATCACCAACTCAATGGACATGTGTTTGAGTAAACTTGGATTGGTGATGGACGGGGAAGGCTGGCATGCTGCACTCCATGGGGTCACAAAGAGTTGGACATGACTGAGGAACTGAACTGAACTGACTGAAGCACTGAGAATTCTAACCTCTGTTTAGATCTCATATATAGGCTATCTGACCATTTCCCAGCTTCTACTTTGTTAAACTTCGGTGTGCTCAATTATTGGGTTGGCCAACAAGTACTTTAAATGGTACAAAGATACTTTTTTTCCTTAGTAAACTTTGTTCTTAGTAAACTGTGTTTAAATTAGACTAAGATGGGAGGAAATGTTTGATGGAGAATTAACTATTGGTCATCACTTCTAATTCTTGATAAATAATAGAAGACCGGGTTGTGTATGTGTCCCCTAGTTTTAGTTTTTCCAAGTTTGTTTATAAATATGCTTAAGAGGTTTCTCTTTGTTGAATAAGTTTTCCTCAGGATTGCTTCACTTACAAACATTTTAGAAAGAAGAAAAAAAAGTTGTGCTTATGTTCTAAAACTTGTATTATTTAGGACTGTTGAAGCAAAAGTCAGGATATCACAAATCTGTAAGATGTCAGAACTAAATCCTACCCTTTCAAAATGATGGGATCATAAGTCTCATTTTATTTTTATGATTTGGCTTGTATGTTATGAATATTTCAATGTCTCTCCCATGCCAAAAACACAAAATCATACACCCATGCTCTCCAATTTGTTTCTTTCTTTGGTAATTTGTGACTACATATTGACACTGACCTAGAAATGTTCCTGTTGCTGTTTTAAATCTCATGTCAGTGGGGAAGAAATTGAAATCTGGTTTCCACATTTGTGTCTGTTTTTTTGTAATTGTCCAAAATCTGACATTATCCCAGAAATGCTGATTGGGAGGTTATGAGACAGTATTGTGCCCAAGACTAATTTCTGAAAAGAGAAATTTGCTCCAAATTACTCCCCATATTTTTCTGTAGCTCAAAAAATTAAACTCAGTTTAACCCAACTTTAGACCATACCAGTAATATCATTGGTTCTAGGCCCAAATAAAAATTTTTAAGTAAAAACAATCACTATGATAGTCCATTTACACACATTCTTTTTTTATAAATTTATTCATTTTAACTGGAGGCTAATTACTTTACAATATTGCAGTGGTTTTGCTATGCATTGACATGAATCAGCCACAGGTGTACATGTGTTCCCCATCCTGAACCCCCCTGCCACCTCTCTCCCCACCCCATCCCTCTGGATCATCCCAGTGCACCAGCCCCAAGCACCCTGTCCCATGCATTGAACCTGGACTGGTGATATCTTTCACATATGGTAATATATATGTTTCAGTGCCATTCTCTCAAATCATCCCACCCTCGCCCTCTCCCACAGAGTCCAAGAGACTGTTCTATACATCTGTGTCTCTTTTG